ATAAGTCATGATATTTAGCCCAAATGTGAATTTTCATCACCGGATAATTCTGAAGCAAGTTGTATCGCTTACCATTAAGAAGGCTTTGGTTTTCTTCCAGGTTTTGAGATGCGCTTGAGTTGTTGCCCTTATCGTACCGTCCTGAAGAGTCGAAGCATAAACAAATTAAGTTGACAGGTGAAAACATATCCATTTTCTAACCCAATAACACATTGTTGCAAACGTGAATAATCTAATATATAATAATTAGTGAATTTAGGGTTTTGCATACCATGCATCTTTCTTGGTCAACAGTGTTTTCGATCGTATTAACTTGATTATAACAAGCTTGAACTCGGATGCGGTGGTAGGTCGATCCAAGCAAAATCAAAGTGTGTAAAAGTTTTTTAATTTTTTATTTTCACAAAGTTTAAACACGATCCCTTGGACGTAAATATATATAAGCTATATTTACATCTAACATAAACACAGTAGTAAGAAAGGCAATATGAAAAGTGTGTAAAATATATACATGAGTCAGAGAGTGAATTATTTCCACACTAGCACTTCCGTGCAATAATTCTACCAAAGACGGATCATATTATTGGAATAGCTTCAGGTACAACTGATATAATTTCACCGTCCAATGATCAATTTGGACACGAGCTAAAGAATTAACCAGTTACACCAAAAAAGGTGCAATCAACACCCCCAAAACCACTACAATACATTCATATTAATAGAAGATAGGGTTAAATCCACCAATGGCCACCAAACTTTATATTTGATGTCATTATCATCATTCAATTTGATTTTGTTTCACCATAATCACCCAACTTTATACTTAGTCTCATCATGACCACTTGCCCCCAGAGCACATCTCCAAGTGGTAAAAGGGGAAGGTAGAAAAACTTCAATTTTGCTTGAAGTTGTCGCGCCAAGGATTCGAATCCTGAAATATGGATTTGGCCATTGAGTAAGTGCAAGTGTACAAACAGTCTTCCAACATGTACCATTTGAGGCATAACCTGCGATTTACCTTCTTCATCAAAGGCCAGGACATGGTAGGTGAAAGCCGTCAAGGATGCGGCTCATCTTTTTTTTTTTAGTATCACTAGACCACCCAATTTGATTTTATTTCACCATGGTCATCCAGTTTCATATAACTTTTCACAATTGTCACATAATTTCATATAACATTTCATCATGGCCATCCAACTTATTTTCACAATTTTCATTAATTTTAAAAGAGGCCAAAAGGTAATTTTGCATTATATATATAAAATAAATTTTAAAAAATTAAAAAAAAAACTTATTTAAAAAAAATTACTTAAAAAATAAAATAAA